AAGAAGAAGAGCCATTGCTGAGCAGCCTTTGGGTTCGGTCAGTCAACCAATTACTATATACTGTGCCAAAAAGGAGCATGCTTTTTTGCACAAAAAATGACTTTTCATGTGCAGAAAACCAGTTCCCTGCAACACAAAACGTTGTTTCCTGCACAGAAAATGCTGTTTTCTGATCAGGAGACTTGTCTGCCATGGATGGGTGTTTTGTGGTTGCTAAAGAAGCATGGAAGACTGTAGGAAAAGGATGCTTCTCTGGAGCATCCTTATGTATTCAAAATGGCCTTGGTTTATTTTCTCCTTGCCAGCTCATTCCAGTCGGAAGGGTAGAGATGCCCTTGTGATGTTCTGGACTTAGATTAAAACATGCTGTTGGGTTTATTAGAGAAAATAAAATAAAGTATGGCTGGGCATGCAATGTATAGTAAATTTAATAACGTAAGTGCTCTGTCGGAAAGATGAGAGTATGGGATGTTGGAAGAGACTGGTGACTGACCAAATATTTGGAAGGATTTTTAAAAAATCTAGGTTAATGTCAGTCTGAGGCTGCATTCGCACTACAGAATTAATGCTGTTTGACACCGCTTTAACTACCATGGTTTCGTGCTATGGAATTGGGATTTGGGGTTTTGTAAGATATTTAGCCTTCTCCATCAGAGAGCTCTGGTGCCACAGCAAACTACAAATCCCTGGATGCCATAGTTTGATTTCAGCCTATAAGAATGATGTGGGGTTTTTTTATGATGATTTTAGCTTTGTGATACAAAGTACTATATATTTGTAATGTACCTGATTTTTGTCTTTTATTTGGTTTCTTTTTCGCAACGGCTCATGCCACACAAATAAATTTGCTTACTAAAGGATTTCATAGGATGGAGCCTTGGCAATTAAAGTGGTGTCAAACTGCATTAATTCCCCAGTGTAGATGCAATCTGAGAGAGAGTTGAGTTGGACAATGTTAACAAATTGGTCAAATTAGTCCAAGGTGGAGTGTCGAAGTAAGGAATATGAGAGAGAGAGATGAGTTAGAGTTAATTCCTTAGGGTCCGTCAGGATATTAACGCATTAAATCAGTAATCTTAAACTTTTATTTTGAGCTTCTTAATCAATCATTTTTGGATCATGCGCTTGTGCCTCTGGGAATGCTTCCTAAGGATTATTGGAAAGCTTAAGTTCAGCATCTTATGCTGCATCGTCCACACTGCCGAAATAATCCAGGTTGACGTCACTTTTTAACTGCCATGGCACAATGCTAAGGGATTTTGGGATTTGGAGTTTGTTCTGGCATCAGAGCCCTTTGACAGGAAAAGCTACATGTCTCACAAAATCGCAGTGCCCAGAATGATATAGCATTGAGCTGTGGCAGCTAAAGTGGGATCAAGCTGGATGATTTCTGCAGTGCGGAGGCTGCCTTGGCATTTGCAGTAGCTGCCGTTATTCAAGGGTGGTGGCAGATTAGAGGGATAAAGCCTCATATGGGAAATGTGAGAGCTTCCAGAAGGGTTTTTTTTCTCACATTTGAGGCCATAATGGTGGGCATCATATTTGGAGGTAGTGGTGGGGCAGGCAGTGGACAACCCTCACAGTTGGTGGCAGATAGAGGTGCTCGCAAGGAGCCAGGAAGGGATGGGAAAGGAACTCAGGTTGTAAAGTTTGGCAGATCATAGAAGCATAGAATCATTGACTTGAAAAGGGACCCAAGGGACATATAGTCCAGCCCCCTGCCATGCAGGAATAGAGTGCTAAAACACTCTTGAAAGACCTCCAAAGAAGAAAAGTCCACCACATTTGGAGGCAGTCCTGTCCACTCTCAAACCAGAAGTACTTCCTAATGTTTAGGCGGAATCTCTTTTCTTGTAATTTGAATCCATTGGTTCATGTTCTAATCTCTGGAGCAGCAAAGATCTAGAGCTCTGGATCAGTGCTCCTCTGACTTCTGGTTCCTGTGAGGCAAAACTAACCAAAATGAAAAATGGATTTCAACAGGAAGAAATGTAAGGTACTGCACTTAGGCAGAAAAAATGAAATGCATAGATATAGGATGGGGGACACCTGGCTTAACAAAATGGCATGTATAAGGGACCTAGGAGTCCTAGTAAATAGACCATAAGGTGAATATGAGCCAACAGTGTTATGCGGCAGCTTAAAAGGCCAATGTGATTCTAGGCTGCATCAATAGGAATGTACAGTTGCCCTTCTGTTTTCGCAGGGAATCTGTTCCAGGCACACCCACCCCACGAAAAAGGAAAATCGCAGATATTCAAGCCCCATTGGTCTTGGTCCTTCGCGGACTGGCAAGCCGTAGCGGTTAAAATGGCACTCACATTGGCTTGAATGGCTGTGCACTCCTGCATGTGGCTTTGTGTGTGTGTGTGCCATTTTAACCAATGGAGCTTGCTGGTCCGCAAAGGACCAAGTTCGTGGACTTGAAATCCACGAAAACGGAGGGGCAACTGTAGTATCTAGATTGAGGGAAGTAATAGTGCCCCTCTATTCTGCTTTGGTCAGGCCTCACCTGGAATATTATTGCATCCAGTTCTGGGCACCACAAAAAGGGCACCATTCAGAAAGGATGTTGGGAATCTGGAGCGTGTCCAGAGGAGGACAACCAGATTGTTGAAGGGTCTGGAAACCATAAAGCCTGGAGAAAAGAAGGTGAAGGAAGGGGTGATGTGATAGCCCTGTTTAAATATTTGAAGGGATGTCATGTTGAGGATGGACTACGCTTGTTTTCTGCTGCTCCAGAGAATAGGACTCGGAACAACGGACGCAAGCTACAGGAAAAGAGATGAAACCAGTGACGTTTGGAAAGCTTGCACCATTTATTTATTTATTTATTTATTTATTTCCTTTTATTGGTCTAATAAAAGTACGTATCACTGCTTTGTGGATGTTGGATGTTATTGTACTTTAGCAGGGCTGTGGGTCACAGGGTGTCTTGAAGGTCTCTCGCTCACTGTTCTTTCTGTGTGCTTCAAGTCCTTTCTGACTTATGGCGGCCCTATGGTGAGAACCAAGATTTGCTCAGAGGAGGTTTGTCATTGCCATCCTCTGAGGCTGAGAGAGCGTGACTTGCCCAATGTGGGTTTCATGGCCCAGCAGGGATTTGAACCCTGGCCTCCAGAGTCAAAGCCCAACACTCAAGCCAGTGTGCCATGCTGGTTCTCACTTCTCATTCAACTCTAGCTTAGCACATGGGGGACAATTGGAAGTATAAAGGGTGATTAACCTGTGATTAACCTGCAATTGCACCAATGGTTTTCACACGACAACATGTACAAAGCGCTATTATCCCGTGATTAATGATTTTCAATGTTGAGATGAAATGTGATTAAAGTGCCATTATCCCATAAAGAACCGGGCAAGAAACAACAGCAACTCATTTATGGAATTTTCCCGTGAATGACTTTTTGCTTCCCTGGTTCTACACGGGATAATGGCACTTGCGTTAATGCTGTTCTAAGCACGTTTTAATGTCAGTTGTGCAATTTTCATGTGTTAATTGCTGTTTAAACTCACAGTGATAAAGTCCATAGGATTGCTGTAAGTTGAAGTCAACTTCGTGCCACTTCACACCAACTTTCTTTCCAGCTCCTTTGGCCTCGGAGTCCAGAGAAAGGGGAGCTAGAAGATACAGTGGCCACAGATGGCAAATGCAAAACTGGGGGGGGGGGGACTGGTGGATGCCACCTCCCATTCTGCCCATGGCAGGGACCCAAAGCAGACATTTGTGCAGTTTGCAGAGAGGGATCACAGTCCTCCTTCTCTCTGGCTCCCTGGATTCCTCTGACAGCGAAGGGAGGGCTGCTGGGCTGCTGCTTTCTTTCCATAGCAGGTGTGTGCATGCCAAGCCAAGGGTGCCTCTGTGTGTGTGTGTGTGTAGATGTGGGTGTAGATGTGTGTATGTGTGTGACAGCAGCAAGGAGGGAGGAAGGGAGGGAGGGAGGCCTGGTGCCTGGCTTGCCAAAGCCTCTCCATCCATCCATCCATCCATCCATCCCTGGATCCAGCGGCATTGGCAGGAGCTCCGGCCGCAAGCCTGGCACCAGGAGCACCACCACCACCATGGTCCTGATTCTGCCCCACATCCTCATTGCTGCTCTTCAATTTTTCAGACGGGGCCAGCAGGTGTTCCTGAAGGCTGAGGAGGCCGCCCCCCCTGGCTCAGACACCTTACAGGTAGGTGCTCCCCTCCTTTGG